TCAGGCCTGAAACTCTTTTTTCAAATAGTTGGTGAGAAACCCTCTTTCCTAGAATAATTTTCTAGGAATAATTTTCTATTCTTGACCAATCTGATAGCCTTCTAGGATGGAACGACTGGCTGGGTGGATGAGGGCAGAGCAGTGGATGTTGTCTACCTGGACTTCAGCAAGGCTTTGGACACTTGTCTCCCATCACATCCTCGTAGGTAAGCTCAGGAAGTGTGGGTTGGATGAGTGGACAGTGAGGTGGATTGAGAACTGGCTAGATGGCTGAGCTCAGAGGGTGGTGGTCAGTGGCGCAGAGTCTAGTTGGAGGCCTGTAGCTAGCGGTGTCCCCCAGGGCTCAGTCCTGGGTCCAGTCTCGTTCAATGTATTCATCAATGACCAGGATGAAGGCACAGAGTGCACTCCCAGCAAGTTTGCTGATGATACTAAACTGGGGGGAGTGGCTGACACACCAGAAGGCTGTGCTGCCATTCGGAGGGACCTGGACAGGCTGGAGAGCTGGGCGGAGAGGAACCTCCTGAAGTTCAACAGAGGCAAGCGCAGGGTCCTGCACCTAGGGAGGAATAACCCCGTGCAGCAGTACAGGCTGGGGACTGACCTGCTGGAAAGCAGCTCTGCCGAGAAGGACCTGGGAGACCTGGTGGACAACAAGTTAAGCATGAGGCAGCAGTGTGCCCTGGTGGCCAAGAAGGCCAATGGGATCCTGGGGTGCATGAGGCAGAGTGTTGCCAGCAGGTCGAGGGAGGTGATCTTGCCCCTCTCTTCAGCCCTGGTGAGGCCTCACCTGGAGTCGTGTGTCCAGTTCTGGGCTCCCCAGTACAAGAGAGACATGGAGCTCCTGGAGAGAGTGCAGTGGAGGGCTACAAAGATGATTAGAGGGCTGGAGCATCTCTCCTGTGAAGGAAGGCTGCGAGAGCTGGGCCTGTTCAGCCTGGAGAAGAGAAGAACTTCTCCGTGGTGCCCAGTGACAGGACAAGAGGCAACGGGCAGAAACTGAGCCACAGGAAGTTCCACCTAAACCTGAGAAAAAACTTCTTCACTGTGAGGGTGACAGAGCACTGGCACAGGTTGCCCAGAGAGGTAGTGGAGTCTCCTTCCCTGGAGATATTCAAAACCCGTCTGGATGCGATCCTGGGCAATATGCTCTAGAGGACCCTGCTTGGGCAGGGGGGTTGGACTAGATGATCTCCAGAGGTCCCTTCCAACCTCAACCATTCTGTGATTCTGTAATTTTGGTGAAAAAGAAGTAATTCACTATGAGCTAGTGGGGTGGAGGGGAAATGATTGTCCCCATATGGCGTTTACAGCAAAAGCCTACAAGAAAGTAAGTTAGTGCCACTTGCAAAACTGTAGCTTCACAATATAAAATTCCTATCTTGCTAGCGTATCAATGAGAGCAGATGTATTCACCATATTCATGTTGTCTCAATGATATATATGGGTCTAAAAACTATCATACTGATAAGCTGTGAGCTTTTAGGAAGAGTGCATTTATTTCCTCTCTCAATGTAGAAATTATATGAAAATAATTTTTAAAACTGGAGAACTGCAGCCTAAATTTGAGAACAAATGTCACTTTGATCTGTTGCTCAGTATTTTTAAATTTTTGTGGTAATTGTTCTTAGAATATAGCAAATGTAAATTAGATATAGAAAGTCTTTGTTTGTTGTAGGATTTGTCTCCGTCTTCCCTGCCTAATGAATAATCATGTTCTCTCATTTATGACATGGAATTAGCCTTTCATTTACTTAAAAGGATATACTTGCACTGAATTTCACATTCACTAGCTGTTTTTAATTTTTTTCCAGAAATATTTATTTTTGTATGAATAATTGTCTGGGAAAAATCTTTAGCTAAATATTAAAGAAATAATGTAGCCACACCATGCGGAAATGTAGGAGGAAAAGGAAACTCCAGAAGTAATCTAGATTGTAATATACTTAGACCTTGCCTGACAAATATTTATCAAACCTGTTCTTAGAAGGTTTCAGTGATAGCAATTACATAATCTCTTGAGATAGCTTGTTCTAATTAAAGGCTATGTGAATATCTAACCAAGATCTCTTGTATCTCCAACCTAAGCCTATTATTTTTTTGTCTCCTCTCTCTAACGTACATCCTTTTTTTTTACAAAAGGTATACATTTGAAGGCTGTCATTGCGTCCCTACTAGTCATCTTTCTAGATGAAATGAATTTTCTCCATCGCCTCCACACACAGTTTTTTAAAAACTTATAATTTTTCTTGTTGATACTCTCTGGACCCTTTCAAGTATAAGGAAGCCTATTTGAAAGACATTATTTTAGCTTAAACTAGTATGTATTTGTAGATATTTTGTGTGCCTCTTATGACTGTAATATTTATTGCTGTATCTACATAGACTGATGCACGTGTCTAACTTTACTATTACAGGTAAATTTATTTCAGCAGACTTATTCCCAGTGATCAAATTGAGCAAATATTGATTGGATTTTGGCCCAAGAAAATATAACGTAGAAAAATAAATAGAGGAGAAGGAAAAGAAAGACAAATAACTTTGAAGCTCACTAGATTTAGTTATGACTAACTTGTTAGAAAAGTAAGTCCCGAAAATGTGGCTCTGCCCTGAAGTTTTACCTGAGCCTTTGATTGAATTATAACTGAGGTGGTATTTGGCACGTAATTTCTGAAACTAATCAAGATTTTAGGGGTTATCACTAATACCTTCAGAAGTATCCGGAAATAAATATGAAGACAGTATGAAGGCTTTTCAAGTATTGTACAAAACAAACTGATAGGTAGATTGGAACTCAAATTCTCTGTGCGTGATTATAGATTGATGCAGCCCAACTGAGGAAAGCTGTGGTGGAACAATGTATGCAGTTAAAAGGCATTGTTTATTTTCTACAAAAATCACAATCTAGTTAAGTATAGCATATTTAAAAGATGAAACATTCTGCAATACAAAGAACCACCTTGGATACTGTATTTTATAGGAACTGTTTGTAATGTTACCCTGGAAAACCATTGCTAATTGTGTGTGGATGCAAAAATGTTTTCCACGTACATTACTGGATGATGAATGGTACTAAGAAAACGTCACGCAGACAACATAATATTTTCTAACATATGGGAATGAATTAATGCTACAGAAAAAAAAAATAGCCCTAAACCCACCTTTTTAATGAAGGAGAAAATTAGGGTAATCCGTATGGGAGATTTCTGCCAAACCAATGGGGGAAAGGAGGGAAAAATAAACTTTGGCTGTATGCTTAATAGGTAAATTTATCTGATTTGAATTATACAAAATAATAGGTTCATTCTATTCAAGTCTCATCCCAGACCCACCCCCCTTTTCCAGCCCTAGGGGAGGGAGCGTTAAATAATGGTCTGTGTAAACTGATGCTCATGCAGCGAGAGTTTGAAGAAGTGCTGCTTGTACAAGTTAAAGCAGGCAGTGAAGAAAGAGCAACCAAATAAAAAGCAGCTGCAGGGACAAAGTGGACCTTTCTGAAATTTAAAAAAAAAAAAAACATGTCTTTCTTCACGAGGGTTTTGAAAATGAAATGCAAGCGCACACTTGAATCTGAGAGAAGGACCTACTTTCACCACGCGATTTTTGTCAGCAGGTTTCACCAGCTGCCCAAGCTTTCCAGCAGCCCGTCTCTGGAGATGCAAAATAACTCGCCAGGGAACAAAGACGAGGAGGTGATGGCAGACTCGGAGGGCGCAGGAGAGCTGCTGAAGCCCACCACCCGCCAGCTCCGCCGGGTGAAGAGCCTGCAAGAAATGCCGGGACCCAACACACTCTACAATCTGTACGAGTTCTTCTGGAAAGACGGCTTCGGCCGCATTCATGAAATCCAGGTACAGCTTAGCCGGCTATTTAATAACTTATTCACGCCAAGATTACTTAATCCTTTCCTTTTTCCCCCTCATAAAACATTGCTTAACCGTCGAGTTAGCAGCACCGCAGCGAGTCATCGCAGCGCCGTGTTCCTGCTGTTACGAAAGAGTCGGGATTAAGAGGATCCCCATTCAATCCCCATGTCCCTTCCTGCTCGGAGGTTTTGCGTTTTTGTTTCAGCGAAGAGCCTACGAGTAAGTTGCTTTCGAGCCGTACAGATACCCTGTTCATAAAATGCGGGCTAGCAGGAGTTATTTCCCTTGTATGTGGGGTGACTGCCTAGCTGGCACCCCCTGAGCTGTCCCCTTTTCTTTTCATGCTCCTGCGTATTTTGAACTTTTAGGTAGGTGCCTTACGCTCGGAAAACAAGAGAAAATATCCCATCTTCTCGAACTTGCCTGTTTCACAAGCTTGCAAGGAACTTATTTTTGGCGGGTGAAGCTGGGAAATGCGGGCTTTCCTCCAATCTCGGAGTGAAACGCCCAGCCTCCCGCAGCCACCCTCAAGGTGAGGCCGTGCCGGCACCCAGAGCTGTGTTTACACGGAGGACGGCCGCGGTCGCGCCGCGGCTTGTGGCTGAGGCACCGCT